GGGGTGAGTAGAAAATGAAGGCTAATCATGTTTTGGGTGTACTATTCCTTTAAGAATAAGAATTAAAGCGCAAGTGTACATGTATCACACACAATGTAAAAATAAAAATAAAAAATACCAGGGAGTAGCACAGAGATTTAAGGTGACATATGTACTATCAGGATGGCTTATATATAGGTGGATTTGACTTTTACATTAAAGTGTAGTAGGTAAGGAACAACGGTGAGTTAGTGGTATGACTATTCTATTCACATATATTGCACAGTCAGCATATTGCAGAGAATATTGCACAGTCAATAAATAAATAAAAAAACTATAATATAGCTGCACAGTGGTTTTTGCAGGAGTTATTGTGGTTATAGTGCATTATTATAGAGTCTGGTTGCGGCAGGAATGAATGACCTGCGGTAGCGCTCCTTCTTACAGACAGGGTGTCTAAGTCTTTCACTAAAGAATCTACATCCATTCAGAGAGGAGCTCCATCCAGGCTGGACAACAAAGTCTGACTCTGACTCATCAAATGCTGACTGTCAGCAGTGCAGATATGTTTTAAAAACTATTCAGCCCCTTTTGTTTTTTTCTGGGTAGTGCTGGCCTAGTGGTTAGGGCAAAGAGCTAGGAATCCTGAGGTTCTCAGTTTGAGTCCCACTCCCACAGACTGCCACTCTGGGTCTCTGAGCAAAGACCCTTAACCCCACACTGCTCCCCAGGCACCTAACAGTGTCAGCCCACTGAGGCCAGGGGGGGTGGGTTGAATGCAGAGGTAAATTTCTCCAATGTGAGATCAATAAAGTTCAATTATTATATTATTATATCACAATCATACTTCCTGCTTTATTATATTTTATTTGCAGTTTACACGGTTGATCATCAGTGAAATGCTATTTAAGGAAAACAAACTCACTGATGCTAGTGCAACACAAGCTACCTTTCAAAATAAAACCCAAACCCTGCACTTTACAGTGGAACCTGTATCAGTGGCGGTTTTTGTTCGGGGCAGCAGCCCATGGTGGGATGATATCCTCCATTCCCCGACCTGTTCCTAATATTTTAGAAAACTCTAGGGTGATGTATGCAGGAAGGATCACTGCTCTACATGCAAAACTCACTGAACCAGCTGATGAAGGGACTCATTTTATGAAGATAAAATCATAAATTCAGTCTCAGCTTCACTGTGTTAGGGTTATAATCCATGTAAGATCAAATATGTCCACATTGCTCCTGTAATCTATTGTTAAAGGGTCATAGCTACAAATGTGACTACTGACTTTTAGAAAATGACACAATTCTATGAGCTGTGATAGCTTAGATGAACATGTCAATTGTTTATAAATATTGTGAACAGGTATTTTAAAAATATTCTGTTTATTTGATCCAATTGGCAAAATTCCCTTTTGATTAATACAATAAAAAAATTAATATAACTTGATATGTCCAGGATTTGTATTTTAGAAGCAGTAAGCTTTGTGGTGTCCATGATTATGATAACAAAAAAAAGACTTGACAAATATTTTTTGTTTTACTTTTATTTATGTTAATTATAGTAAAAATCATTTTAGGGGATCAGAAAAAAAAATAGGTAAACAAGTTTGCACTTTTACAGCTTTTAAATCTGCCAAATGGGTTTCAATTTTAATCTTGCATTTTAAATAAGATCCATTGGTTGATCATTTTAATTAACCTACTTAAATCAAGTTCAAATACAACTATTTTAAGAAAATTTTACTTACATTTAGTTCACTCTTTGGGTGTATAACATTGTGTGCTGGAAACACTATTCAATTCAATTTAGTTTATTTATATGTCACAAGTTTTAGAAGATGTAAATTAAATTCTACCAAAATATGTTTTATAGTTATTTGTGATGAGTGGTTTTTGGCGCCCCCTACTGGTTGGCCTATTAATACTGGGGAACGGCTGACAATTCCACAGAATCTGTTCGGCCCCCAGCTGTGGTGAGTGCTCCGGTCTGGCTATCTTCTTTGTAGTGCTGGAGTTGGGTATCCGAGGGATTACTGGACTTTTTATTGCATTACAGCTGTTGGTGAACCAGAGGGGAGGCTAACCAGAGTATTTGTTTTCTCTACCATTCATTACAGTAATTAGGGATGCACGATATAATCGGCCCCCTATCGGTATCGGCCTGTATCGGTCTTAAAACTGAATATCGGACATC